GAGTGAATCATTCATCATGGATTATTGATAGGATTAATTTTACCTCCTTTTTCTGCTCTCAGGATGCCCAAACCCCCCCCTGAATTTATTTTCCCTTGCTTTATGAAATATTTCTGAAGACAAAGTAGAGTCAAGCCAAGTCATTTTTTCTCCTCTTTGCTTGGCTGAATGAAATGTTTGCAATCAGGTTTTAACCCTTGCAAATTCTCCCAGCCCAGAAGCTTCAAAATCTTTCCTCCTTGACTCATAAATGTGCAGCCATGGGGATGTCAGAGGAGAAGGAGCTCAAAACAGGGGGACAAGCAGAAATAAAGGGCTTCCACAAGCTTGACTGACTGACTGACTGGCAGCTGTCAGCACCAATGCCAGTGAGCATTGTGTGTGAGGTACTGCAGCCCCTGGGAATCCAACACTCAAACCCATTGGGTTCACAGTGGTTTAGCATGTCAGCTCCTCTCCAGACAGGACATCCCCAATCTGCAGGCACCTGTATGTCCCATGGATCCGTGTGACAAGCACATCCTGCCAGGTCTGAGCTGTGTGGCACCACCCTGGATGGCTTTACCCAAACAGGGCAAGTGTTGTTCCTTGCAGATGGCTGCAAACCACAGTGGGGACCAAGGCTGCTGTTTCCATGGCAGCACATAGAGAATTCCACTTGTGAGCAGCCCTACTATTAAAATCCAAACAAAAATAAACCTGGAGAGTGACTTTTCCCTTCCACCCTTTGGCCTTTGGGGAGCTTTCAGCCTTTGCTCCATATTAGAAACCTCAGGCTGCCTCTGTGGCTTTCCCCACCGAGTTCCCTGGGGGTGCTGGAGCTGTGTGAGCAGTGGCAGTGGTGTCTGGGGCACTGCACAGCCTCAGCCACACAGCCAGGTCAGCTCAGGACAGCAGGAGACAGGTCCCTGCTGGAACCAAGGCCATTTAGCCAGTGGAAGCTGTTCCCAGTGGAGAGGGTGAGACTTTGGGGTGTCCTTGGCTACACAGGAAGGAAAAATCAAGGCCCTTCTTGGAGATGCAAACTCAATTTCCTAAGTCCTTTCTGATCATTAATTCCCCATCAAAAAAATCTTCAAAAACAAAAGGAAAAAGGAGGTTTGTTTTGCAGAGCTGTTGGGAGAGATGAGAACAGACTGGAGTCTGCAGGTGGTTTGCAAACCCTTCCTGGCAATCACAGGCTCAATCAGCACTGTAACCAACCTGTGCCCAAGGGCAGTGAGTGCCTGAGCCCCCAACAGCCTCTGTGCTCCAGCACCTGCCAGGGCTGGCACATCCCAGAGTGGTGTGTTCACACACTTATGTTTCCAGGATGAGACTCAGTGATCTGCAGCAGCTCAGCAGAACAGAAGTTAAGCCAGAGCTGCTCATCTCAGAGCTATGAGACCCACAGGTTTGGGCTTTGACAGGAAGGACACGTGGCTTGTCCTCTGTGGCTGGGACTGAAATGCCTGGCTGGTATTTGCAGAACTAGCCTAGGGTCTAATAAATGCAGGAGACAATGAAGTATTTCCCCTTTCCAAGAAACAAAGTGCAGAAATTCCATACCCAAATGTAACTCACCTGTTTTGCCTCGTTTAACCTTCAGCCGTTTTCACATCTCCTTTCTACAGTTCCATGCTGGTTTTGGCAAAACACATTGCAACATGTGCAAAGCCTAGAGGGGAAATTCCTTCAGCAGCTTCCCAAGCACAGCAGGTATTTGAAGCCTAGGTGCTGAGGTTTTAAGTGCTCGAGGGTTCTAGGTACTGAGGGGTGTTTAGGGTGTCTGAGGGTTCTAGGTGCTGGAGTGCTCTAGATGCTCAGAACCCACGAGTCCAGAACCTTCACAACCTAGAGCATGATAGTCTAGAACCCTCTAAACTCAGAGTGCATTGTTGGGGTGTCCTGGACAGGGCCAGGAGTTGGACTCAATGACCCTTCCAAGGGAAGGAATCCCATAAAAATGACCCTTCCAGCTCAGGATAGTCCATGATTCTATTGATTTGATATGAAAAAACAACCACCCAAAAATCCAATTTTGAGACACCCAGGTTAGTCTCTCTGCAATGTCAGAGCTGCTGTGGTTCCCTGGGCACAGACTGGGGGCAGCAGGATGTGTCCCACAGCAGCCTTGGCTGGGCAGCACAGGACTCACAGCCTGCAGTGCTCAGTCCAAAGCAGCTGCTTTAATCTGCCTCCTCTCCCCAACAGAGTTTCTGATTAAAAGGCAGAAAATGATCAGACACAAAGTGGAGCAAATTGTCTCCTTCCAATTCTTCTCCAGACAAGGATGAAAAAAAGGGCAAGGAGTAGAGCTGGTTCAATAGCAGAACAGTAATTGCAGGAAGATTTCCCAGGCACTGGGCTGACTCCACCGTTTTGTAGGAGATCACAGAGACCAGCAGCTATTGCTGCTTGTAAAGACCCTGGATACTGCAAGAGTTTTGCCCAGAGTAATTTTCCTCTTTAGATCATTTCAGCCCTGTCCTTCCTCTTTTTGCTTCCCTCTGTGAGAGCTGACAGCTTCTCCCTTCAGAGTGCTTTGTTCCCTCTGGGAACCAGGATGTGATGTGACTGTTCCCAGTGGAGCAGAGCATGTGGTGGGTGCTGGCACAGCTTTCCCTTTCAGGGATGTACAAGGACACCCTCTCCCAGCCTGGACTGTGCTAGGAGCCTGGCAAGCTCCCAGGCAGCCAGGGAAGAAGGGCCCAGCAGAATCCCTGGATTGTGCTGAATTCCTCTGGAGCTTTTCACCCACAGCTGGACCAGGTTAGCCCAAGCCACTGTCCAGTGATTCCTCCATCACCAGGCTGTCTCCAGTGAGCCACTAACACTGGTCCTAACCTTTATTTTCACCCCAGAAAATCCACTGTCATCACCTGCAGCTCGTGGCTTTCTCTTCCCAACTCAGTTTTGGCTGCTGGGGAAAGCACACAAGGGTAGATAAGCACATGCTAGCAGCACCCTAACTGCTTTACTGCAGTTGGAGATCTGCAGAAGCAACTTCTTGCCATTCTACACAGTGTGTGTTCCAGGAACTGGCCCTGGGAGTGAGGAGAACAGCCCTCCAATGCAGCAATCAGTGTCTCCTATGCTTTCCAGAAGGGGAAGCAAACACCCATCAGCCACAACCTTTACTCCTTAAGCTTCCCCAGAGGGAACATTTCAAAGCATCAAAAGGATTTAAACCTGTCCAGCTGCTGCTGAGGCATAATTAACAGTTGCACAGTCAGCTCCAAGTGCAGCTGACAAAGCCTTAGCAGCAATCCCCTATTTATCACACTCCTGGAGTATTTATAGTTCCACAGCAAGGCAGGGGGGAGATAAAGCAGGAGAATAACAGGTGAGCTGCTTACCAGGGGGGATAACGTTTGCTTTCAGCTGCATGGCATTTCCTCAGCCCCCAGGGAAGCTTTAGGAGGGACAGGGACACAGAATACCTGTTCACAGTGGGATGCAGTGGCAGGTCCTTGGGTGGGAGACGTGGAGGGTCAGTCCCCAGCTGAGATGTAGAGGCCCTTTGGCAAACAGAGGCACTTGGGCTGTTGCAGTGGGTTCTGAGCAGACAATTGCTCTGTGTCCTCAGCAGGAGCCTTTTCATCACTGGGAATTGGCCCTTCCTGCTCACATTTGCCTCCACCAGGAGATGCAGGTGATGAGGGACCAGCCTGATCTTGCATGACACTGACTATAAACTGACCTTGGACTGTGTCATTTGTCCCTCCTCGTCTCTCCTGCATCATTTACAACCCAGGCTCTCTTCACAGAGACTGGTATAAAAATAGCAATGATCCTTGAGATTCCTTGGCAATCTGTGAGGGATGGAGGAATCCTGGGTCATTGGGATGTCTGACTTAGGGGCTGAAAGGAGATGCTGGAGCCAATGGGCTAGGAGATCTGGGCAAGTAGGCAAGGACTGCCAGCAAGATCCCACCTGCTCTGGGCTAGAAAAGAGAGGGAAGGAGGTTGTCACCTTGGTTCTCCTTTCCAAGGGAAGGAATCCCATAAAAATTGGGTATCTCTTGGCATTTTCACAGCTCTCCCAGCCCTGAGCAGACACTGCTCACATAAACACCCGTGTCCCATTGCAGGGAGCTGTGGGACCTGCCACTCTAACTGTAATCTCATCTGAGCTGTACTGCACCCAGTATGCCCAGGAATTATCAGCTCTGGTTTTATTTCCTGCTGTGGCTTTATGACCCCACTGAGACCATAAATGCATCTAAAGGCTAACTAAAACAATTACATTTTCTCCATAAACAGTCTTATAAAGAAAATTATGGCAATGCTATTCCAAAGGAGAAAGATGGTCATAATCCTTGCAGGGAACAAGCTTTACCAACTTGCTCTACAGCCACAAAAGTGCCCATTACTCTTTGCTCCAGAGCTGATGCAACTTCCATGGGGAGTTGCCTCATGCTGCAGTGGCCTGTGAGGACCCTTGGAGAGAGGTGCTGCAGCTCCTGAGAGCTATTCTGGGACTCAGCAATGATGCAGAGACTTTAGAGCTCAGAGAAGCTGTGGCTGCCCCATCCCTGGAAGGGTTCCAGGCCAGGTTGGATGGAGCTCTGAGCAACCTGGGCTAGTTGTCCCTGCCCATGGCAGGGGTGGAACAAGAGGAGCTTTAAGGGAGCTGTGCAGGTGCTTGAGGGGATCACAGTGTGGAGGGGCACAGAGGGAGGCACTTGCATGGGAGATGCTGGGAGGAGCCTGATCCCCTATATCCCCACTTGGCATCTCCTGCCCTCACAGCCCTTTCCAGAGAAGGGTTAAAAGATATCTAAGCTCTTCACCAGCATGATGTGAAATGTCTCTCAGATGATTTACCTGTTGCCATCCTCTCCTGAAATCTCTTCCCTCAAACCTTCTGCCCTGTGCCTGCTGCTGATAGATCACCACAGTCTTTCCTGCATGCTCTGGCTGCACAAAAACTGCTCATCCCAAACCCAACCCCATTAGAAATCATTCCTCACTGTGCTGGTTTCACCTGGGATGGAGTTAAGTCTACACACCCAAGTCTACAAAGACACCTGGAAGTTCAGGTCCACAGGGTCCAGCAGAGCATCCTGTTTCTCCTTCCTTTGCTCCTGGTGCACATGGTACCACTGCTCAGCAAACTGCACAGCCTCATGGATGCTGTGGAAAGCCAAGTGCCCCTCACAGCCCTTCCCACCAGTCCAGCCTCCCTCCCGCAGCCGGTGGCGGATGGAAGGGTTGCAGTTGGCCAGGAGCACCTGGACACCAATCTCCTTGTAGTCATGATGTGTCTCCTTTAGCACAGAGAGACCCACAGTATCTATGAACTGCATTGCCCCACAGTCAAGGATTAAGGTGTGCATATCTACGGAGGGAGGACAAGCATCTGCTGGAGGCTTCTCAGCCCTTTTCTTGGCCTGTTTGAAGCAGTCCAACTTGGTGCCCAAAAAGCTCTTGGTGTTTCCTGTCTGTCTGTTTGCCTGGGCTTGCACCCTTTGGTGCTTAGCAGCCAAGAGAACAGGATCTACCCCAGTTTTCTGGTACAGAACTGCCTTGAAATAGTCCTTGTTGGCATAGTAGAGGGGTGACTCGAAGCGGAAGATTTTGATGTTGGTGATGCTGCTGAGCTGTTTGTAGGTGGCTTGGTCCTCGTAGATCTCAGTGTTGCTGACCTTGCCCAGGAGTGTGGCCCTGGGTCTCTGCGTGCGGAAGATGATACAGAGCAGAGCGAAGCAGACGCCCACGAGGAGCCCAATCTCTGTGGTGATCAGTGTGGAGGACAGCATGGTTGTCCACCACACCACTGTGTCCAGCTTGCTGAGCTGCCACATCCTGGGGGTGTCACAGAACCTCCTTAGGCCTCCACGCAGGTTGACAATGGTGACCACCCCCAGGATGGAGGTCTGCAGGGAGTAGAAGAGTGGAGCAATCCACAGCAGCACTAGCAGCAGCACCAGGGAGGTGACCAAGCCAGAGACTTGGGTGTGGGTCCCTGTAGACTCCTTCAGCAGTGTCTTGGTCAGGGCTGCAGAGCTGGCAAAGCAGTAGAAGAAAGAAGGGATGAGGTTGCACATTCCAATGGCAATCATCTCCTGGTTGGCACGGACAGTGTAGCCATGCTTTTTGCCAAAGATTTCTGCCAGGGACACAGTCATGGCAAAGCCAATAACAGCAATGGGCAGAGCATCAACTGCCAGGCTGGAAAACAGGTTTATATCTGGCAGGGTGGGTTTCCTGAAACCAGTGGGGATATCCCCACAAACAGCAGACTGGTAGTGCTCTTCAAAGTTGAAGTAGTGAGACAGGACTGTGGCTACAATGACCACCAGCAGCTCGATGGGGAATGGGGCCTTCATCTTCTCCTTGTACCTGGCATTGACCTCCTTGACAGGCACTATGATGGCCAGAGCAACCAGGCTGGTGACCAGGTCACAGATGTTGGTGTTCTGAATGGACCTGAAAAGGTCAACCCAGGTCAGGATGAAGGATCCCACTCCTTCATGCCGAGGGATTTTCAGTCCCAGGAGATACTTCATCTGGGAGGTGATAATGGTGAGGCTGGAGCCGGTCACAAAGCCACCGAGGAGAGGTTCTGACAGGTAGACAGCCACAAAGCCCAGCTGTAAAACCCCCAGCAGGATCTGAAAAGCAAACCAGCCATACCTTTAGCATGGATGAGCAGGGCTGGAAGAGGTGGCTGACAATTTATGACAGTTTGCCTCCACTTTAGCAGCTCTGGCTACTCTGTCTGCTGAGCATTCAGTGAAAGGCAGAGAGGACTGTGTCTTCAGTAGTTCATCTAGGGTATGAAAAACTAAAGAGACCTATCAACATCCCTTGTCTGTGGCTAGGGATGGACACAATGAGGTCCCTGCCATTGCCTCCTCACAAGCACAGAGTTAACACTAAGCATGCAGGCAGCAGCCCCAGCAAAGCAGCTCTGAGCATCACTTGGTGGCATAAAACCATCGTGATGCTCTGAATTTTAGTTGTCTCAGTGCAAAAGCCTGGAGCTGTTCCAGTGACAGTAGGGGACACTGCCAGGGAGCCTTGCAGGGTCCTTGAGGGTTGTTCTTGTCAGCCCCAAACCTGCTCTAACCTGTACCAGGGCTGGGGTGGTGGGAAGGTGGTCCAGAGTTTCTTCTCCTCCCTTGCTGCACCTGCTTTTAAGGATGTTTCAGACAGATCCAAGGACCTGAGCTATCCCATGGGGGCAAATAACCTCCCACATTCAACTGTGTTTTCACTTCTAAAAGCCATTCCATTCACAGGGATTCAAGGGTGTTGGGGTCTACTCACATCAGGGAAGGTTTCTCATGACTTGTAAGTCTGAACCACGACTGCAGCTTACAGATCTTAAACTCTGATAAACTCCTAGCAGGGAAAGAAGAGAGAGGAAAAAAGCACAACAGTGAACATTTGTACCTGGTAAAGCCCAACCAGAAAGCTTAAGGACAGGGCCACAGTGATGGCATAGCAGCTCCTGTCACAGGCAGCCGTGCCATTGCTGGAGGAGGTGGTGTTGCCCAGCAGGGAAGAGCTGTCATCACTGTACCCCGCGAGCTGGAGGTGCCTGTTGACAGACTGCCCAACCATCAGGCACAGCACCCCAAAGGAGCCCACGCAGTTGTGGCGCGACGTGGCCAGGGCCACGTAGATGATATTGCAGAAGAAGTTGGTGTAGATTCCGTAGATAGGATCCTGGCTGGCTAAGAGGGAGTAGGAGATGGACTGAGGGATGGCAACTATCCCCACCAGGAGCCCAGATATGACATCCCCAAGCAACTGTGTCTTGATGTTGTAGTGGGGGAGCCAGTCCAGCACTGGGAACAGGCGGCAGAGGAAGGTGGGGATGGTTTGATGGTTGCATGTGCAGACCTCTCTGGCTTTCTTTTGGATGAGTTCCTTGGTGCTGAAGTCTGTGGGCTCATACTCCTCCAGTTTGACATGGATAAATTTGGCAGGAGCCTCCACTGAGGTCAGGGAGCTCAGTGCATCTTTGCTTGGTCCTGACTTCTGGCTGGATGTGTCCTCCATGGCACCAGGAGAGCTAAGGCAGGAGAGCAGCAGACATGAAGGGCTGTAGTCATATACACAATGTGCTGTGCTTAGCTCCAGGACTCATGCAGATTGCATGCATAAATAAACAAGGGAAAACAACCTCAGACAAACCAAACAGAAAACCACTTTCCCCTGGTGCTGGTTGATTTGTTTGTCATCACTCATGGACCCGATTAACCACAACCCTGAGACCTGGGTGTAAATCACATTCACACTGGCACAGACCATCAGGGCCCACAGAGACCCCCATGCTCCTTCCTAACACTCCTCTTGTTTTGGAGCAGGACAGCAGAATAGGTTAAGAACAGACAATATTATTCCACTGAAACCAAAACTTCTGGAATTCTGCATTTCTTCATGACAATTCTACTAAGCAAAGGCTATCTTGAATACATTAAGACATTCCAAGTGATACTTTGGGAGTGCATGTGGGTCGGGGAGGTAATTTGGAGACTAATTTTCCCTTCAGCATTCCCAAACTGTAAATGCCATTGCTGGTCTGCATCAACCAGGCACATGGCAGGGGCTCCACCCGCAGGGTGAAACCATCTCAGCCTGGTTAGACTGCAGAGACACTTCCCAGAGCTACTCCAAGCTTTCCAGTCAAAATGCAGCGGCCACAAAACACACCTTTTAGTCCAAACTGGGTAAGCCAGAGAGAAACATGCTGCTGAGAGGAGACCCAGAGTGGCTGCAGTTTGACAACTGAACTGGGATGAGGAGAGGTCCCATTCCCCTGTCCTACACGTTCATTCCACATCACTACTCCCAACCCAAATCTCTTACCTCTGGCTGCAAGGAGATGCACTAGGTGTTTCCTCACTACCTGGAGCTTCTCCCCTGTGGACTGACCTGTCTCCACCTCGCTGCACACCCTGAGCAGAGGAAGCACAGGGCTGATGACTGCAAACCTGTTACCTTTTCCACTTCCCTCGAGATCTGAGTTACTCAGCCAAGCAATTGGCCCTTTTATCTCTCTCCAGCCGCTGCAGACGGTGCAGTCAGGCAAACAGAGTTGTGTTTGGAAAACAAACATCATCCTGAGAGAGTATTTTTGATGAAAACTTGCTCTGGACAAGAGGAATGATTGAAGGGGTCGGGGGAGAAGTGCTCCTGCCACAGAACTGTATTGCTGGTATCTGCAGAAGTGTTTGCTAAACAAGAGCAATGATGCAGAGAAACTTTCCTGCTCTGTCCCTCCCTGAACTGAGTGACCACTATTGCCTGAGTCCTGTCAGGCTTCTCCACTCAGGTTTTCACCTACTCTGGACAAGCTTTTGTTCAAAAAAAAAAAATCAAACAGCAAATCTTGTTTCAGAATGACTTATTTTTCCTGGAGGCTTTCCCACAGAGGCTCGACAGAACACAGACAAAGGTGTGATGACACAGGTTATTTCTAGGCACACAGAAGAACTCATTATATGTCAAACCTCCACAATCCACATTTTCCTTGTGCCTTTTAGACACCAGCAGAGATAACAAGGGATTTTGCTGTGCAGAAGTAAGTACGATGCAGTAAAGTGCAGGGCTGCTTTTCTTTTGTAGGTAAAGGTAAGCAGTTGCACTAGCAGCCAGGGGAAAAGGGAATCTCATCAGCTTGAATGGAAACAGCAGCTTCATAAATTCCAGCTGGAACTGTTCTGCCCTTGTGATCCTTGCCAACAACCTACATCAGACCTCAGACTTCCCTTCCCCTCATTCTCCCTCCTCCTTTTCCATCAACCCATCCCTTTGACTTTGCTGGCTCTGCTGAAAGCTCATGGCATTTGGAGAGATGCTGTGGGCTATGCAGAGTGTCATTTTCCCAAGTGTTGATTTAGATGCTGGGGAGACACCCTGAGGGAAGAGAAGGGGAAGACCCTGAGCTCCAGTTCTCTCCTCAGTGGAAGTCTGTATCAGTGATGGGAAGTAAATAAACAAGAAACATCCATGCTCTCTGGCAGCAGGAGAAAATGAGAGCACAGGGTAGGGAGCAGCTGCTCAAGGTGCTTATCTATTTATATGAAGCCTTTATTCTCTGCCATTTCTCCACAGATCATGTATTTTCAGGTGCATTGCTGATAGCTCTCCTTTCCCTTCCCTTCTCTCAGTAATGCACTGCATCTTCCCTTAGCCTTGTCATTCCTCCTGTTCTTAAAAGCTGATCCTTTCATATGCCTTATAATTGTTCCCAGTTATGTCTCATTTTGTGTCTTGGCCTGGCTGACGTGATCTCTATTTGCTCATTTTCCCTTTCCATATTATTCCTTAGCAAATGACCCAAATTTCCTTTTTCTCCATGATTCCTTCAGCTTGAAACTGAGTCACTGAAGAACTGATGAGTCAGTCACTGAAGAGCTGCCCAGGCTGAGCTTTTAACTCTGATTGTTCCCTGGGATGAAACACATCTGAGCACAATCCACCTCTGGGGTTAGGAAGGTCCAGTTCTGCATCTCTGATTTGTCCACCATGAAAATGGGACAAAGCACTTGTTCCATCTGTGACAGTATCTAGGTTACCTTTAGCCTCTACCACTGCCTTTCCTCCCAAATTCCATCTTCACTTGTATGTTCTGGAACTCTCTTGTGTTAGGGTTTCCTTTACCACCTGATACAGCTTGGTAAGTCTCGATACAGCCACAGTCTCCCACCTCCCCAGGGCATAAGCTTTGGTGGGCAGTTCTTCTGTCTCCAAGCCTCCCCTGCCATCCTTCCCTACAATCTTTTCTCCCCTTTCTTGTGTGCAAATTTCCCAGTTGCTTTTGTATACTCATCTTTCAGATATTCCATACTTTCCCTGCAGTTCTCAAGCTCCATATCCCAGTTGGCTTCCCCATGAGTTTGGTTCTCTACATGGTCCCCTCTGCTGGAAATTCCAGCTGAGGGCACTGAGGAGAGGCCACTTGACTTTCTCCATCCCAGCAGAGAGGATGTAAGAACACACTTGGTGACACTGTGTACATCTCTGAAATTACTTTTGCTGCGTGAGGTGAGACAAGGGCAGACACTGCAAACACTTCACATTTTCTCTAGAAAATGTAGAGCAAAGAGCTTAAAAAAAGAAACCCACAACGGAACTTGAGGTGACCTTGAGCTGCCCAAGGCTGTGCTGCCTTCCAAAGGGAAGGTCACTGCAGCTAACTGCTGGAACTGTTTGTTTCCAAATGCATCTTCCAGGCTTGTTCTTTATTGCCACTATAAACTCCCTTAACTGTTTAGCTCCATCCTGGGCAAGGCTGGGCTGGACAGATGGTTTTGGCCTGAACAATGCAAGTATAGACAGGACACTGCCTGCAGTAACGTGGCACCCTCTGGTTTTCACACAAACACAGAGTATGGAATCCAAACTTTGCATTTCTGGCAAATCCATCTGTGCCACAGCCACCTAAAAACACAGCAGGGGCAATCCAAGCTGCAGGTACAAGGTAAGGGCAGTAGTGGACTATTTTGTGGTTTTCTGGCCTAAAGCTGAAAGAAATCAGAAACTTTCTGGGCCTGGTTATTATCCAGGCATTTTGCAGCAGGGAAATGCAGCAAATTCAGGTCTCTGCTGCTGTCAATGCATCACTTTGGTTTTACAGGATAAGCTGCATCTCCAGTTTGCTTTGAACAGAGCTAACTGCACTGCACAAGGATTTCTGATTTGCTGGTAAATACACTTAGAATCACAGAATCACCAAGGCTGGAGGAGACCTCTAAGGCCAACCATTAACCTGTCACTGCTGTAACCCCTAAACCAGGTCCTCCAGTGTCAGATCCAGGTGCCTCGAATACCTCCAGGATTGGTGACTCCAACACCTCCCTGGGCAATATCCCAGTGCCTGACCAAACTTAGGACTGTTTGGCTTCTGGAAGCCTTTGAAGTCATGGCCCAGCCTGGCTGAGCATGTGGCTGCCCCCACTGCCCCCAGTGACTTACAACACATGCAGTTCAGGGCCATGAGCCTGGAAGTGGTGTCAGATGTCTAAGAGAGATGCTGTTCCTTCCCTCCAGATTTGGGACTTACCAGTGTTTTCAGATGGCTGCTGCTTTGGATCCACTTGGAAATGTGTTTTCAATATCTAGGCATCTGCAACACATCTTTTTTTAAGGGAAAAGCAAGGAAGACAAGCCCAGAAATGGTCCCAATGCTGACACGTGGCAAAACACAACAGAAGCACCCGAGGACAAAATCAGGCTGAACAAAACCTTCTCCAATGGTTTCTTGGGAAGCAATTACCCACATTTCTGCAAGAGATAACACTTCCCAGAAACCAGAGCAGATTCTGCAGCCTCCTGGTGTTTGGCAGGGCACAATGTGCTAACGTGGTGGGGTCACAGCAGAGCTTGCAGGGCAAAGAAAGCACAAAACTGGGAGGCCAAAAGGGACACTGACCCTGGGAGTGCACATGGCAATGCAGTCACACTGCTCTGAAGCTGAGAGGGACCAGGGAATACAAAGGAACAGTTATAAAGAGCCTCCTACAAGATGGACAGGCAGAGCACTTCCAAGCACACCAGCTAGAGGACTGGGGGAGCACTCTGTGTTTATATATCAAGGATGAAGATAATTCCTTGCCATCTTTTGCAGCACTTTGCTGCTGTCTTCATGTTTTCCTCTGCACGACAAACATCCAGTGCTTATGACCCTTTTCCAAATTATCAAGCTAATAACTGAATGCGATGATGGCTCTGCAAACAGATTAAATTGATTACAGAGGAATAAAAATGTGGAGATACATTTCTATTTCATACTGAATTGGCATTCAGCCCAGGCTATTTGGCATCATTTAGGGCAGTGAGGCACTGGCACAGGTTGCCCAGGGAAGCTGTGGCTGCTCCATCCCTGGAAGTGTTCCAGGCCAGGTTGGATGGAGCTCTGAGCAACCTGGGCTAGGGGAAGGTGTCCCAGCCCATGGCAGGGGGTGGAACTAGATGATCTTTACAGACCCTTTCAGCCCTGTAAAGAATTTTTTCCTAATATCTGGTACATGGTAGAATCTGTTCTCAGATTTTAA